AATCCAGACTCTTACCACAGTCCATGCAGTGTCCAGTAACTAATGTTGAGTTGGCAATGCTCCGTCTGAAATGTGATAAACAAATATTAATATTTGATGTTTTTTTTACTGTGTGCTCCGGTAAGAGCTAAATCATTATACTGTATTTGTAACTAATGACTTTCACTGAATCAAGAATAAGAAATTAAACTGGATTGCACATATTCCTGTGTGATGTATATTTATCAACAAATGTCATCCTATGCACTGCAGCAACATAAATCTCTGCAAGGCCCAGCTAAACAGCACTAAACACCGTTCCTCTTGAACTCAAAAGCACAATGTGAAACTGATCAAGATTCACACCAAGTACACCGCTGCTGACATATCAAATTTGCTTAGGTTTGTGTCCGATTTTATCACTAGACGCAATCACAACATAATATAAAACCTAACTGCACAATAAGCAGAAAAAGTGCCACCAATAAGCCTAAAAATGAGACGTGCCAGTCATGCTGTAACTTGCATGTGAACAATGTTAAACCGCACTGCTGACAAGTAGTCTTGTGGTTTTGTATCACATGGTGTTATAAGGAAAACACCTGGATTAGATTTCCCCAAACGGATCAGTGGGCGCCATTGTTTAACACAACGATGCGAAAGACTCGCTTGAAAACAGCATTAACTCTACCCATGACTTTAGTTTATTGATCATACTCCTCTTTAAGTGACAGTGAATGAAATCCTCTCCAAACTAAAAAAAATGGCTGAGATGAATCCTAGATTGAAAGGTCAGCATACAAGCAACATAAACACAATATTTATTTTACTGTAGTTGGAGATATAGAACATACAATACAGAATTATGATAAATTTAAAATTAAGTATTGTTGATGACTCCATTAATATCTCGCACACTGGAGTTTTGCTCTGTCTAAACATATTTTTCTGCTCCTCCCAATCACTTAGGGGTGTCAAAATCTATAGGAGTCATGTTTGTCTTATAAGGTGTCTTGAGATGACATTTGTTGCAAATAGTTGAAATTTACAGCAGATAAACACCCAAGTCAAAAATAAAATGTTTTAATTTTATATTATTTGTCTTATTAGTGAAAGTAAGTCTTGCATTTGACACACATTTTCCCTAAAGTCATAAAGAAGCACCACTTGTTGACGAGTAAGAAAACAAATGCTGTACATAGTCAATAAATGATAAAACTACTGAACATACTCTGTCATCCTATATTTAAAATGACAAGTGCTAATAAACTAAGTCAATAGATAAAGACAGACAGGAACTCACAGAACAGAAGGTTTTGGGCCACTGCTGTGTCAGGATCACTTTGGTCCATAACTTGCTGAAATGCAGACATTTCTAAGCTTCTTTCCAATATGATTAAGTTCAAATGATCACAGCTCACATTTATTGAGAAACAGTTACTGCAAATGTGAACAGAAAGTAACAAAAATAGTGACAGATGAGCACAATTAATCATTTCTTATCTGTTTGTTCTTACATTGGTGAAGTAATGACAGCAGAGGACATAGCTGCTGCCAGGCAGACAAGAAGAGGGAAGTGGAGTCTCATGGCTGACCTGCAACAAAATGGGAAATTAAACTCAATACATATGAGTCCTGAAAAATTAAAACCACACCAACACAAAAAAGTTATACACTTTTCAAAATATTCCATGTAGTCTCTGAAGAAATAACTTTGAATCTCATTAGACAATTTGTTTAGAAGAAACTGTCTCCTTAGGTACACATATAACACAAATCCTAGCCGAAAGGACAGAGCATAACTGGAATACACTTATAAACAGGAACTTAGTCCATCTTGTTTACGTAAGTGGGATTTCAGCTCAGTTCCCATTTTCTGGTATAACCGTTTTTTTACAAAGATTGAACACAAATAAAGCAAAAGTTAGAATTACGTTATGATCTTGTGTTCAGATTTTCTAACTTAAAATCTCGTAAAGATAAAACCATGTAAACGCTAACTCACATAAATATTTTTAGGCTATTTAATAATATCACCCATAGAGATTGTATGGGTTCAACATCTTCAAACACTTGTTTGAGGTTGTCTCTAACAGTAAGGAAAATGCTTTTCTTAAGGTAACCCTACAATTCAGTATGACAGCCTAACAGCTTTGGTAAGTGGAAGGTGCTGAGAGACATTACCAGGATAAAAGATGATAACACAGCCCAATTTATTTGTTTATTTCACAAATTTAAGTGTACAAACTGCACAAAAATATGACTTTCAGAGGTTTCATGAACAGAGAAGCACATTGTGATTCAATTGAGATGCACCACTAATATGAAGCAAAGTCATGTAAAATTAGGATAAGTGGTATTGTTCCCACCTTGGAGGCAGCAACAATATGTGTAGTGAGGAAGCTGGACCAGTGTAACTAAAATATATTATTGTGAGAACACAGCTTGAGTTACATGGCATTCAATGATAAATACATTAAATCTCAAATATTCAAGTAGGATGGTGTTGTAACACTAATGTTTCTTGCCAGGAACACCAGTTCAGTACAAATCTAATAAGGCAAAAGGTATTACATGTAAAACTGTACATCCTATTACAATGAAATGTCCATGTTTGTCATTATTTCATAAGTTTTTGACAATTATTCTCCATAAAATAATGCAGAAACACTACATAGACACAGCATCACACACAGATTAAAATGAAAGAGTTGAACTGGACAACTTAAGGTTATAAGGATTAAGTCAGAGCCAGTGGGCTCCTCAATCTCAACATACCAACAGTAGGTGTAGCTCTGCTTAGCTAAGCAGTAAATGACTCAAACCTTTCCGTCAGCTCACAGAAATCTAACGAGAACTTGCAGCTACTTTTTTTCAGTCTAGTTGACAAAGACATGAAATACCCATAAACTTACGACATCACTGCCTAAGGACGCCAATGAGGAAGACGCCCTTTTTGATTTTACACTAAACGCAAAATAAAATTATACTCAAATTTAAAGCTCCTACACACTGTGCGTTATATACTTTTCAACACTTTAACACTGCATAAACAATGACTGTTCATGAAACTGTCTGGGGGATCTTTTGTAAAAATGTTTGGACCAGACTGACGCAATGAGCACAAGGGCTGTAAAGAAATATCAACTAAATGCATATTCCAGACTAACTCAAAAACAACACGACGATCTCTTAATCATTCTAAAAGACAGGGCTTAATTTAGAAGAGAAAAATAATTTTGACAAACTTCACTGACCTTGTTGCAGACATGGAACATCAGACAGTATAACACTTGAATGAGTCCTTCCTTCTTGATATCTCGGCTTAACTAGGTCACGTTTTATATAGTGGTTTACCAACGAACAGTTTTGTTTACGTCGAACAGCACTGAACTACCGGCTTTGTTGGATCAGCCAATCATAAGCATCATGTCGTAAACACATCTTGCGTCATTACGTCTCTGCGTAGAGCCGATGCTTGGGCTGCTTGGTTTAGTATAAGCCGTGACCCGTTTGCTCCTCCGAACAACGCCTACCAACGACGTTTTCAATCCAGGTCTGGATAGATTCGCTGAATTAAAAAACAAACAAACAAAAAAAACAGTTCTTTGTAGAATATTTGTTTAAATAACAAATTTACCTTAATAAATATGGATAAATAGTGCACGTATGTATTATGGCAGATGGCAATATGAGAAAACACCAATTAAGTGAAGTTGAAAACAAACTACGTTTCCACTAAAAAAAATCTATTAAAGATATAAAGTTAAAAAAGAAATATATATCATATTCCGGGTATAGTATGCTCTAAACTTATATTTTGATATTAACAAATTTGGATCAACAGAGGTCTAACAGAAATCGACCCAAAAAAGCATGTTTACAAACTATAAAATAATTTAAAAAATTCTATTTTGTATCAAATCAAATGTTATTTGTATACCACATTTCAGCAGCAAGGCATTTCAAAGTGCTTTTACATCATCACAAACACAAAAACACAGTCATGCAACATTGAATCAACAATCAAAAACATTACATTAAGTCAAGTGCCATCATTAAATTCATAATTAATTACAAATTAAGATGTAATGAGATTAATTACATAATTATTTATTATTCTTTAAATGGGAAAATTTATTTGGGTGAGAATAGAATAAAATTAATAAATGGCTTTTGATATTTCTTAATGATTTTAGTGGGCATAATTTTGCAAAGCCCTTTCAAATAAGTCCAACTTTAGTGTGTAACACAGCAGTTAAGTGTTTTATTTTTGCTGCCCTATATTTTAAATAGCAAAGATTAGATGCCATGGGTAAGATCATTTAAATTTGTTAAATAAAAATCCATCTGTATTTTAAGTTTCCTGTAATTTCTTTACTGAAAAAGTCAATACTTTGCTGTAATTGTAAAACTCTGGCCTGTTATCAGCTATATTGGTTTCCTGTTGGGCACACGTCCATTTGTCTACGTCATTCAGACATCACACACTCCTTCTAAAGCTGCCGAATGTTATCCCATGTTGTCGCCTCACATGATTTTGTCTCAGACGTGCAATCTGTTTAACAGCTCCTTCTCGATGTCAGGAATAGTCAGGTTGTAACTGTAGCTAGTTTTATAAATAGGCCGTGGCCAAAGTTCAGCATGCGACGCAGCTTCTCAAGATGTTCTTTAATGCAGATGGAGAAAATTCTAAGCGCAAGAGTTTGATGCAGTGTGCAGCTAGATTCAAAGCTCTACATTAAAGAGATGTCAACTTAAATTTGAATAATTTGCAAATGTTTTATATTCATTTCGCATAAAGTGGTGAAATTTTATGCTTTATCTGATGTAATTGTTATGCTTGGTAGCCCAACTTGAATCTCATTACGTCTTGAATAGCATTATTGCAGAAATAAAAAAATAATAATTTCTGCTAATGAAATAGCTTACTGATTTTAGTGGCTATGTCTTGAAGGATACTAGTTATATATAGGCAGTTCTCTCTCCTTATAAGGCCTCGGGGAGAGGTTGGTGGGGGGCAGCTGGAGTCGGGCGGTGGTTCTCTTGGCCTTGTGCAGAACTTGGTTTAGGCTGACTCCCTGTGGATTCAGGCTGATAACCGAAGTCGCTGAAAAGAAAATCTTCAGTGGTAAGTAAAAAATGTTTAAACTATGCTTCAGCTCTTACCTCTTCTGTATTGTTAGCTTTATAACCCATCTTCATTTCAAACCCATTAGCAGCAGGTGGGATCAGTGAGGTGGGACTAAAGAGAGCACAGCCAGAAGATGTTTCATGATCCTTTACTGCTGCTAATGATACTTCAAAGTGATGAATGAAAGAATACGGGTTTTACAAGTGGAATAAATGAGCAACGGAGGACTAATGTAGACACTCTGTCTTTCATTTCTTGGACAGACTGTATGTTTGGTCATCTGAGAAGTACAGAATGTCTATGCATTTATTGTTGGTACCCAGATTAGTCAAGGTAAACACAATATGGACAGCTATATTGGCCATCAATATCTGTTTATGAACTAAATATGTTGTTCATGGGAACGTCAAGTATCTAAAATGACGAAAAATAGACATTTTGCTTTGATAATTGCACCTTACCTCTAAGATTTTGATTTCTAAGATAAGATTTTGTAGTGGAATTACATCATGTTGCTTTGTATGGTTATGGCTGAGAGTACTGGAGGTTTACAGTTACAAATGGATTTTCTTGGCTGTTACAGTATAGGCTGGACTTACAGAGGTGCAGAATTTATGGAACAAGAGAGTATCTTGCAAAGAAAACTTAATGTTCATGTTTCCTTTACCTTCAGACACAAAAATTGTTGCTTGCCTGAAATCTGCTATGTAATGCAAACAGCTGTTATTTGCACACAAGAAATTAGTCATGTTTGCCTGGATTTTATTGGTGCTGCTTCAAATTGCTGCTGGAGAGGATGCTCTAAATGTCCTGCTGTGAATAAATTTATTTTGGGAATTTGCTGAGTCTCCCAATGTCACCAAATCCTTTTACCATTCTTGGTTCTTACCTTTTTGTCTGGAATTCAAAGAGCAAAAAGTTAAGCATGTGTATAAATCCATTTTAACAGAAACTTTTTTGCTTTTATAGTTGATACCAACCTGTGTTTAAAGTTACAGACAAACAGATTGGGAATGATATGGTAACATTGTATGCTTGACTGGCAGATTTGAGGCATTAGCAGTAAGCTGAATTTGGGTTTATTGATATGACAGATGACACTGAAGCTGCCGAGTGCATCCCAAAGGTATGGGAACAGGGTTATGGTGCAACACGTTTCATTCCCCATCAGCCTAAGGTTAAGGAACGGGGAAGGAATCGCTTCAGATTTCCTCTGAACTTCTCTCTGGTCGCTGTGGTCAGTAAGGGGAAGTGAACCAAACATGAAGTGAACTGATGCTTCTGTTTTGATGGTTGTGCTAAAATAAATGTTCTAAAACAAATTGAATAAAAAGAAGCTAGTGTTGACTAATTTTACTGGTCAATAAAAACATTATTTTCACATCACATGCATGATTTATAACGTATGACAATATTCATCTCTTTCCAACTTTCAGCTTCATTAAATTATTATTAGGATTCCGAACAGGAGGGTAAATTTATTATCATTGGAAGAACTAAAATTAAAGCTATATGTTTTGATTAGACACAATTTGGTGCATCCTGTTGTCTAACAGTGGTTCAAGGTCATGCCTTTTGTTTATGGTATCTCTTTACATGTGTGTCTTTTATTGCCTGTGTCTAAATCCTAGTGTCACTTCTGACAGTAACCAACAAGCTGATAGTGTTTGTGAGTGTGTTGAGATGTGCCGGATTGTTTCAAAGTCCATGTGTTCAAATTATTCAAAGGCTTTTCTATTTGTAGAAGGATAATAAATAATTTGGTGTGTGTATAAATGATAAGCTTTACCGACACAGAGCCATCACTGTGAACTGTTTGCTATTCAGTTGTTGCTGGCTTGATTTTGTTTTTTCCTTTCTGTAAGAAAGTGAAATGCCTCCTCACAATTGATAATTCCTTTGAAGTTTTAGTTACACATGTGGAAAAAAAAAAGAGCAATAAATAGTCATACCGTAAAAAACAAAGATGCAATTATTGTACAGGTGGAAAATCATAATTTTAGTCCTTGACAGGTTTCAATCTTCACAATTTTGGGTCATTTCTATCAAATTCAGGTAAATACGACTTTAGAGAAAGCAACAACCAACTTAACTATGTTTGAATCATAAAACCCTTGGAACTTGCTAATTTATTTTTTCAAAGATAATTAAGATCCTTCTATATGTTAAGCGATCATACGGGATTATGATGTCAGGCTTGTCATAAACTTCCACATTTCTTGAGGGACCATTTTGAGTTCCAGTTTGTTTTCTTGTTGCTTGAAAGTTCTGATTTCTAATAACAATAAAGTGCCTCAAAGTGGATAAGTATAGTCGCTTCATCATATTTAAAAAGTGATTTTTCTGTATGGTTTTAGGGCTCGACATGACTTGCCATTGAAAAATGCTGAAAAAGCAGTTAATCAGTTGAATTTGGGGACATTTTCTTTGGAAAAACTATAACGACAAATAAAAAAAATTCTAAGCATTCTCTCCCTATTTTTTTTTTCTCCTTGAAGTTGTACTCCATGTAATAACATTTTGTATCGTCTGATATTATAGAACCTCATCAATTATCTTTGAAAGTTCATAGCTGTATCTGTGAGATGGTCTCATTATGCTGTTGTACTTTATTTTGATCTCTCTCGACATTTCATTACTCACCTAACAGGTCAGTGTCTACAGCGCCACCATGTCAGCACGTCTGAAACGAATATATGACCACCAATACCACCACAAAGAGAGCCAATATGTGGTCAAAGAATACAGCAGGTACAGCTGACACATGCTAACAATCATAAACAGGTCTTAATATATCTATCCTGCTTTTTAATATGAATATTATAACTAAAGCAGCATCGTTTTGACTTTACTTTAACATAACGTACTGATTCAGTTATGTTTGATGTTATCTTGATAAATATAATAACATGAACATCAGATTGACAACTGGCAAGTTGATTTGAGTTTCAACAACTTTTTCTGTTGAATGTATAGTTCTCAAAATTCTAAGTAACCATTGTCTTAATAATAAAGTATTTTTTGATGTAACTCCTTTTTGTGCATATATTGACCTATGCTATAGAACAAAGGTCAAATAAGCCAAAAATTGGATCCATAGAAAAATAGAAAGACAGAACATTTTTTTAATTATTATTTTAACAACACATTATTTTTCAATGAAAATACATTATGGCATCAGAGTTTTACACCCTATTCTCATAAACACAGAATTAACTGTCCATCAACCACAAAACATACAACATTGTTAAAACAGCACTGAGAGATAAACTAATTTAGAAAGACTATTCAAGCATTAAATCAGTCACATAATCAGTCACTAATTTGCTGATGCAAGTCTTCTGAGAAGCTTGGCTAGAGATAAATAGTTTATGTTTCAGACATGACTATATTAGTGCAAAAGTTTGTAAGATTCAGAATAATTTACCTAAAGCTGAAGAATCAATGTGTCTTAGTTTAAAAAAATAGAAATACTCTGTATATTTAAAAAAATAAAATAGAAGAATTAAGGATTACTCTGCACTATGCAGACCCTTTTGAAGCTTTTAATATTTTTTGGTTTTGACTAATACTAATGCAAACAGACCTGTTGTGAATGTCCTCAATGTCCAGTGTCCTGAAAAGAATCAATTGATTTTAAAAATAGTATTGTGACAAAATCAGTGTAATTTTAAATGTATGTTAATAAAACTTGCATATTGTTTATGTTCAGCTCCAAGGCCTCTGAAGAAAGATATGAGTACAAAACACAAGCTCGAATTCAGGAAGTGGTAAGATTTATTGAATCAATTTCATTTCCCCTTAAACACATACAGTAAACTAGCTAATAAACTGCTTGACCTCTTATCAACATGCTGTAACTTTATAAATGTCAGTGCAGCATAGTCAGAATAAAGATTCAATAATTAATTACAAGAGCAAGACAAGGAGGTGGGTATTCCTCACCTGTGTATTTATTAGGATTCTATGTTTTTTGTTTAGGTAAGAACAAAGTTGGGAGAAAAATATGTGCGCGAAGAACCTATGATCAGGGGACCAGAGTTCTTCGTCAGACTCAGATCCCATACTGTGTTTGAAAACACTCCGATCAAACTCTTCTGTACTGTTGAAGGCTACCCCATGCCAGTTGTGAAATGGTAATACATGAATATGTTTTTTTTTGTCTTAATCAGTATCACTATAATCCTTTACAAATCCATTTGCAAAAACATACTTCAAGGTATTAATCAATAAACATACACAGGCCTCACTGTAGCTACATATCTTTTCTTCACTTAAGGTATAAAGATGGCGTGATCCTGGACTTGTCCTCTGGAAAGTATCTGGTTGAAGCCAGAGGTGGGAGCCACTCTCTGTTGATCCCAAGGTATAGTAAGTTCAACAAAATAGCTATCTGTCTATTTGGTCATCAGTTTTTTCTCTCCTGAAATTTTATTTTCCACGATTGTCCTGATGAGTTTTATTATTGCCTTATGTCTTAGATGACTGCGTAAGCTCATTTCATCTGAATTTCCAAACATTTTTCTTTTGAACATAATTTCCTGGAGCCTTGAAATCTACCCCTATGTGAGAATGTAATCACCCCACTTTATAAATTAGTATTGAACTAGGATTGACCACATTTTATTTTCGCAGCGATGAGTTCAATTTAGCAAGCTACATCCATACCTCATCTCTGCCATACAAATGTATTTAATAAATAAATTTTAATAGGGCATGTTTAGCAGCATGAAGTGAAGAAGAAACATATCAAAAAGCTTATGCCCATGTAAATAAATCCAAGAGCAGATGAGAAAAAAAA